TTAATGTTTCGTTTACTGCGAATTGGATATATATAGTTGGACAAAGTGACTATACTGGACGAAGCTATCAAATACGTGAAACAACTTGAAGAACGCGTAAGAGAACTAGAAAAAGATCCATCACTCACAGCCATAAAGAGAATCGAGTTTTGTGAGAATGACGACGCCTTCTATGAAGTCAATGAAGAACTGCCTAAGATTGAGGTTAGAGTTGCAGAGAAGCAAATGTTTATGGGAATCCGTTGCGAGAAATGGAAGGGCATTGAGTTCAAAATATTGAGTTTGCTTGAGAACTTTCATCTTTATGTCTCCGGTAGCAGCGTCTTGCCCTTTGGAAAATCCACTATTGGCATTACCATTATTGCTCAGGTATATAGTGATGTGCAAATAATTATATTGAGCATAATTCATATAATATTATAATGACTTGTGTGTTTGGCAAATTTAATTTGAAATCTTTCAAATCTTGTGACTATATATAATGCAGGTGGGTGATGAATACAGGACGCCAGTGAATGAAGTGGTGAAAAACCTACGACAAATTCTATTATTAGGCTGATCCGTCCTAGTGTATCATGCTTCATTGTTGGCCAAAACATCCAGAAAAAAAATGTCATGCTTCGTGCATGTGCGTGAGACGCAAATTTAATGTCTGAATTAATGAAGTAATTCTAATTAGAGATGATTTTTCTCTGCGAAGGAATCTCATGACAGCGACTCCAAAGAGATTTTAGGCAATATTGGAAATAGTAAGGAAGGTTGGTGTGTGTATGTATTTTCTTTGTTTTCAAAGAAAAATTATGTTTGTTGGTAATTCATATGAAGCAAGAAATAAAAATTAGCATGAGAGAGAACACACACACACAAGATGCTAGTTCATACTCCCTCCAGTAATCATAAATATAATTTGTGCCTAGGTCCATCTCACATATATCAAGAAAACAATTCAAAACTAATTAAAATATTAAAGTTATCATAAAATTATTCAGCCAGTTTTCAATGTTATTTTTATATTATATTAATTTTGATCCGCTCCCTCTTGGTATCCTTATACTACCTCCGGTCCTAAATATAAAAGCTAGTTAATTAATTTGAGTAGATTAAGAAAATAAGTTAAGTTAGTTATTTGTAATAAATAGGTGTTGTCTTTTCTAAAATATTCTTATTAAGTAAGTATATTAGTTAGAACAATTATTATTAAAAGGATTATCCTGGAAAAAAATGTATAAATATAAGAGACAAAATGGATTGAAGTCTTATATCTTGAACCAAAATAAAAGTCAAACAAGATTTTATATTAAGGACCGGAGGAGGTAATATTAATTAAAGTTATAGGCACATATATATATATATATATATATATGTCAAATACAATTAATGCGATAAGAATATGTAGGGTGCCTTGTAATTGACTAAAGTTGCCCCGAGGTCTTGCTTTTTTCTTCTTTTTATTTTTTAGTAAACAAACATCATAAATGTTTTTTGGCCAACCGAAAAAAGGCACAAGAGAGTGAAAGTCAAAACAGATGGACAACAAATCAAGCATGCTTTCCAGGCCCAGGAAAAAAAAAAAAATCAAGCATGCTTCCAAATAAAAATGTGAACGGGACCTCTGACAAATCCAATTATTGATGCTGATGAAAATGATGGATACTACAGAAAAGAAATGGGTAAGTGCTAATTGGGATGGGAGTTTTTCCCATTCATATTGGCATTATTAAGAAAAATCTACGTTTTAAATGAATCTTTTGGAAATTATGAAATACATTTTCATTTTCGATTATACTTATTTCCCCCTTCCATATTATTGCGTCAAATCGAAAAAGGCCTAATTAGTAAGTTGCTTCTGAATCATACCCCCCTTCAATCTTCATTTATGCAAGGATATGCTTAGGCGAACACAAAACCGTCTTGTTAATTAGGGCTCTTTTTGTTTTTTTCCCCCCTGAACATCAAACAGTATTCTCGTTACTGTAAACTTTTTTCAAGTAGATTTGCTCCACACACAAAGGTCAAAAATCGAACCCTTAACTTCTTGATTAATAATGAATACCAATACTACTCGTGTATTATATCTGTGTAGTTATCTGCTGTTATTTTATTTTTAATCGTTATTTAAAGGAGCGCACACATGATATTTCATTCAAAGCTCTCCAATCCAAGCTTTCTGTTGGAAGAAAAAAATTGGCTGATAACTCGCTTTTCTTACACTGGTGTCTCCGAGCTTCAATCTATTGGATTCACATATAGTTGTCGTCCGTGGATCTTCAGTTTCAATGGAAGAGGGAAGGGGGGCCTAGGAAGGATACAACATTTGAGAAATCCTCTAACACTGCCCTAATTGAGGTTAATTCTTCTCTTGTTAATAAGAATGTGACAAAAACCCACTCTATTTTCCTTGATTTTGTGAATATCAGATAGCCCAGGCTTCTTGTTGAAGGACATGGAGATTGCTATGGTTGAATAAATTGATGATGAGGGGGCCAAACTATATGAACGGCAATGTTTTCCTTCTGTGCCAAATTAAATGATAGTAGTGTGGATAATGATACCATGCAAGATGTGAAAAATCCCAACTTTGTTAAGCTCGCTAATTAAGTGATTGCTGCCTTCAACCACACTTTAAAGGAAGCAAGATTGTGATCTATATAGAAGCTTAATGGAGAAGCAGATAAACCAAATATATTTAATGCAGGGGGCCAGAAACGAAAAGATTCTCTGAAGATTCTTCTATATCGCAGCCAAATAAAGAGACATGAGCCAGCAGAGTTAATAGGTGGTGGGCCTTGTTATCCTTCTATATCAGCATGGTATTTGTGGGGGAGGGAACTGACCACAAATTATCTATGGATTATGAAGCTGTGTTCATTTGTGAATAACTGCCTTTTTTTGACGGTGACTGTTTTATGCCCATATTAGGATAGTCCCGGGGATCGACAAAATTATATTTATGGACCTGGATTTCATCGATGAAATTTATAATGAAGGACCTTAGGAACTGAAATTAAAGAACCTATAATGTTTCATATGGACGACAATACCCCAAAACAATGATTTCCCTCAAAAGTTATCACCTGAGATTCCTGTGATAAGTACAATACACTTTTATGGTTATTGCACCAAGCTTGAATTAAGTTCTTTCACTACATTGGTTTCTTAACTCTCAGCACAGTAAAGTTAATTTTAGCTCGTTCTTCTTTAAGTTTACAAGAAATTTGAAGATTGTCACTATCAAATTTCTGGTTTTTTTATTTCTTTTTTTTTCCAGCTCTCATCATTGAGAAAATAACTGCATAATCTTACAATCTTGTTTATCAACTCTTGGCGTTATAAAATGATTACATTTTTAAAATTACAAGAGAGATGTTCAGGATCGTTTCGTCCCCTCGTGACAAAAATAAGATCTTTAGGTTCTTCAGAATAATTTTAATCTTTAAAATCTTTCGTTATAAATTTTGTCAAAACATTCAAACGTAATTTTCACGTAGTTTATATATGAATAATATTTGGAACAAATTATAAAATCATATACTATTCCTCGTTTTTTAGACTCTCTATTATTTAATATTATTTTAGCATTAAGGTGTATTACTCGTGGTGGCGAGGAAAATGGTATTGCTTAATCGATGGCGTGTCAATATTGTCGTCAAGTTTTAGAAGGAAGGAAAACTGAAACTTCCTTTGAACTTTAGCGAGTCTTGTTTCTGGTATTGCATATTCGTTATCATATCATGGGTCGCTAACAAAATTTGACTTATACGCAGGGGGTAGAGTTCACATAGAATCCACTAAAAGAAGAAGAAATTATACAGTCTGCAAACAAAACATGAAGTGGAAAAATCTGAGAAATGCAAATTAAAACAAAGTCTGGAGATTGAGTTATCATTATTTGAAAAACATAAGATTTTATTGAGTTAGCAATGATTGTAGTTATCATGTTGATTTTCTTCACAGCAAAGGATTTGTAATAAAAGATACCAAAATTGATTCACATGCAAACAGTCCATAGGACATGTGGGATTTTGTCCACTGGTTGAAATTAGAGTAATTATTGAAGTACTACCTTTAGTCCTAATTATAAAAGCTAGTTGACTAATTTGAGGAGATTAAGAAGATAAATTAAGTTAGTTATTTGTAATAAATAGATGTTCTCTTTCCTAAAATATCCTTACTAGTCAAATTTATTGGTTAGAACTATCATTATTAGAGGAATTATCTTAGAAAAAAATACACAAATATGAAAAATAAAGCGGATTGGAGTCTTATAACTAGGACTAAAAATAAAGGTCAAATGATGTTTTATATTAAGGACTGGAGGTAGTATAAGCTAAGTATCACTATCATGATTTGGGATCTTTGCGAAGGTCATTTTCTATCAGTCTCACGGTGTGTCTCACGTTTAGGCATTATGGCATATAATCAGACATAATTCTGGCATTTCCTCCATAGAACTTTATTTCTCTTAGATCAAAGCTTATTATTTATATATGCGAGCGCACTTGTATATATAATCGAGTCATTAACATCAAATAAATAAAAACTGTACAATGAAGTAACTGCATGCCTCACCAATAGTGGGGAATTTAATGGCACGCAAAACGACAAAGAAGAAAAGAGGATATAAGTCTAAAAAGTTGTATATCGCCACTCATATAAAAACAGGAATATATACATTATCACTTTTCATTTATAATGGGAAAAGATATGCGGAATATATATACACACACACAGCCAAGCACATCAGCAGTCTTTGCTGGTCCTCTGCTTTTGGTGAATAATCCTGGCCACTACATTCTTCTTCCTTTTCCCACTCTCTTTTTTCCTAGATGGGGCTCCTTTGTTTCCATTCTCACTACCAATTATTGACAAATAATACTAATTCATATTAATTAGTTTCATGCATGCACGTCCTCTATATGTATATATGACCAGCTAGATCGATGCTTTAATTTTGAGCACTTGTAGAGAAGTACAGTCTCGAGATAATACTCACCAATGTAATGTCTGATACCATCAGAGAGAAGTCTAATATAATGGATCAGGAGTCATGGGAGGCTGGTTTTCACCAACATCTGGTAAGACCAAGATTCAAATCGTATATATCAAAACTTGTTAGTTTCATCGCACTTCAAATATTTGAGTTAATATTTCAATTGTCGCAGGATATGGGTGGTGTTCAAGATTTCCACGACCAAGATTATTGTCACACGATGATGAATTTTGACGAGGAAGATAAAGAGCTCCTCAGGAACTTTACGCATCAAACAGGTCTACATTCGTCAGATTTAGATCCTCTGTGGTCGGAAACTGTATTATCTGCTCAAAGAGAAACAGAAACTAACGGCATCACTTCCGGCGACCAAGTGATGATGCCTCCTAGGGCATGCGTCCTGTCATTTGATAACTACAACGTGATACCAATAATCTCAAAACAAGAAGACTCCAATAAGAAACGTTTTTCGTCAAAAAGAATCAGCAGAGCGAGCCATAAGGCCGAACCAAGTGCTAAGAAGAAAAGAAGGTCTTCGGAGACCGTAATGGATCATGTAACTGCAGAGCGGATAAGAAGACGCCAAATTACAGAGGGCTTCGCAGCACTGTCTGCAACTATTCCGGGCTTGAAGAAGGTCAGTTTGTTCGTTGTACTGCAAAATTTTTACAATTATTAACGCCCATGTTTCTATGTTTATTTCTTTTGGGACAATGACCATTGATATTTTTCTTCTGTCGGAAAAAAAAACATTTATGTGTTTTTCAATTCATGTTTAAGGGTGGAAATCAAACTCTTTCGAGTATTAGGAGTTAAACAAAATTTCCCCGGCCCCTTTAAAATGTAAGCCATTCCATGCATTAAGCATCCTCGCTTAAATTTTATTTTAATGTAATGTCTTTTACTGTGAATTGGATATAGTTAGACAAAATGACTATACTTGAGGAAGCTATCAAATACGTGAAACAACTTCAAGAACGTGTGACAAAACTAGAAAAAGTGACTCCAGTAATATCCATAAAGAAAATTGAGGTTGGCGAAAATGACGATTTCCGTGAGGCCGATGAAGTGCTTCCAAAGATTGAAGTAAGAGTTACGGATAATCAAGTGCTTCTTGGAATCCATTGTGTGAAACAAAAGGGCATTCAGTTCAAAATATTGAGCCTGCTTCAGAATTTCAATCTCTGTGTCACAAGTAGTAGCGTTTTACCATTTGGAAATTCCATTCTAGGCATTACCATTATTGCTCAGGTAATTATTAATGTATTATAATCATACTAAAGTACTAAACACAAGTTATATATACTTGTATTATGAAGACTACTTGTGCTTGGGGAATTTTAAATATTGTACTTTCTTTTTTTTGGTGTGACTTCAATGCAGATGGGTGATGCACACAGGATACCAGTGAATGATGTGGTGAAAAACCTGCGACAAATTCTATTAAAGTCGCATGAGGTTGATCCGTAGTAGTGTATCATCCGTGCAAGGCAAATTTAATTAGCATCTCTTACTCTAAATGAATATGTTTTGTTTGCAAATTAATGTCATAACAAAGCCATGCATGTATTTGTTCGTGTTATTACTTGCTACTTTTATTCAAAAGTTGGTCACCTTTAAGTTGCTTGTGGGTATTGTTATTGTAACTATATATGTGAATGGGACCTAGACTTCAACAAATTAGATGAGAAAGAGAGGGGCGAAGGATTGTCATTTTCTAAGCATGAGAGAGAAGTATGAGCTTTTACAAAACAAATTCGGCAAGTGGGTCATATGCGCTGTGCAGAGAAGACAAGGCAATTATGGAAAGTTGAACTATATACTCATGGACTGCAGCCATATAATCATATATATTAAGGCGTATCCTTTATATCGATCTAAACAATCTAAATAGTTTAATATCACTAAATAAAACTCATAATTTAGTAGTAATGGTTTTCTATAGGTGAATATATATATGTATGGATATAAAAATACAGAATTATTTTTCTCATTGCTTTGTTTTATTTATTTTACTTTAATCTACATAATTAACATTTGCTAAAGTATTAATGTCAACAATTAATGTAAATTATAACTTCCAGGAACTAGTTCTGATGCTTATCAAAGTGATGAACACCCCAAGCTTATCATATCTAGATCATCTAGATTTGATTTGGATGGTTTAGATTTATTTTTTTTAATTTTTTAAAATAATTATTTCAATGAGTATAGAATCTAAAAAATGATAATTTTTTAACTATCTTTTTTTGAAAAATAATTTTAAAAATAAAAAAATAGATCTGGACCATCCAAATCAGATTTGAACGGTCTAGAATCTAGATATGATGAGTTTGGGGTATTCATCACTTTAATAAGCACTAAAACTGGTTCCTAAATTCTACATCAAATCATAAACTATTGTAATGTATGAATCTTATTTTTCACATTTCCATATAAAATAAATAAAGGCTTACACAGTTGGTATATGTAAATAAAGGTTGCCATATAGTTTTCTTATTCATTTACAAGATTATACGAAATCAACAAAAACCCATATCAAAGCCAAAGTTACCTTTTGATCAGAAATATTAAAGGTTAATGTACATTCAATATCCCAAAAAAAAATTTTCAACTGCATCCGACACTCTAAAATATTTTGTGATCTATTTAGCATCCTGAAGTATTTTTTTAAATGCATCCAGCACTGTAAAATATTTTTTTTATACATCCAATGCTTTAAAATATTTTTTTAGGTGCATCCAGCACCCAAAAATATTTTTTGGTACATCCAGTATCAAGGATAAAAAAAAAATACTTTAGGGTGGTGGATGCACCATAAAATACTTTAAGGTGTTGGATGTATTTAAAAAATATTTCATGATGCTAGATGTACCTTAACCCAAGATTAAAAGACAGAAATCTTGTTCGTACTTCATTGGTGTTAGGTATTAATTGTGATAATTGATTCAAAATATTGTCCTTATGGAACATCTTAACTTGGATAATGAATAACTCTTCAAGAAATTTGCCGAGGGACCTGGTGAAAGTTATAAGCTACAAGAAAATTCCTTGTCAAAACAAACTATGGCCTCTTATCCATTCCATTAGAACATATTTATTCTACTCATGATTTGAACAATTTCTCCATATATCCTTGAATCTCTCCCAAGCCTCATAGAATAACTCATCCAGATACTGCTCAAAAGAAAATAATTCACCCCTTAATATAGCTCGTTTACCTTTTAGAATAAATCTGGCCTTGAACTTTGCTACAAGCTCATCCCAAGTCTTAATCGAATGTTCCAGCAAGGAATTCAACCATGGTTTCGCCTTGTGAGATAAAGACATGGGGAACAATCTGAACCTCAAAGCATCTTTAGTAACCCCATTTTGCTTGAAGTTCTCGCATACTTCCACGAACTTGGTCAAGTGCTCATTACGATCATCACTGAAATTCCCTTCAAAAGTGCCAATTATCCCCAATAGTTGAATCATAACTGGCTTGATTTCAAAATTCCTGGCTTGAATGTCTGGTAGCCAGATACTCGAATGAAAAGTCTACCCTTCCTTATCCAAATAGTCATCCAGAATATGCAAGTCATTCTCATCTTGTTCCGCTATCTTTTCTTGTGGTTTTGTTTCAAGTGGTGGTGGTAGAAGCAGCCTGGGTCGTTGCCGAATCTCTAGTATGTTTTCAGTTTCTCCTGAACTAGAAGTAACCTCTTCTAAGATAACTTCCAGATTTCCTTGCATGCGTCAGGAAGTATCTACAAAGTCAAATCAAACACAAGAGTATCAAACTTATCAAATGAAATGAACAAAGTAAATACTACTATTCTATCTATAACTATCTCTACAAATGCTAAAAGAAAAGTTAAGTGTAACCAATCACACAATAAAGACAATCAACCTCAAGCAATCTTGTCGTTAGTCCTTGGCAACGGCACCAAAAACTTGTTCGCCGAATAGCTCAACCGCAAGCGGACAAGTTGCAAGTAACATAAAAAGTATTGTTCCCTTAGAGATTAAGGCTACATGAGTTAAAAGTCATAATTGTGTTCTTGACTAGGTTAAGTAAAGCAAAAGTTGTAAAAGAGTTTGTGAAATGAGATTAGGAAAACAATGATTTAAATCAATATGAAATCAACTTGACTTTGAGACAAATAAGGGTCTAGGGTTATTTTTCACTAAAATACTTCATAAAACTTGATTAATCACTTCTTAAGTAGTAGTTAACAATAAGTTCAGTTAGCCAGGGTTCGCAGAATTGATTAAGCTTTCTCAAGTCAAAACCAAATTTTTGCAATCCCAATAAAATAGAGCAATTTCTTGCATTTGTTTGAAAAAGGTTGCACATCGAAAACCAAAACCCTTTCTAGGCTATGCTATGTTAATAGATATATTTCTATTCTATCAACAAACCTTCCATTTAATAAGATAAATTTCTGGACTAGCACATTTTTACCAAAGTTCATAGAGTAATTTAACTTTCTTAAGCTTCAACCAATCAACTAATCAATCCAAATGATGACCAGACACAAGGAAGCATTAAGCTCAAGGTAGAAACAACAAAACATTATCATTAACACTAAAGAGTGAGTTAAAATAAGTCTTAATCCATACAATAGATCAAAATAACCCTAGGATGACTATTCTAGCTACACATGTTTAGCAAAAAGCCACAACTATAAGAATAGTTACTAGCTATTACAGAAACAGGGAGAGGGGAAGAAGAAAACCTTAAAAAATTGAGGAAAAAAGCTTCCAATCTCTTGTAGCTTCAAGTCTAAAGATCCCAAACTTCAAAACCTCCAAATCCTAGTAGAGCAAGCCTCCAAATGAGCCCCAAAGGCAAAGGGTGTCTAAAAACGACAAATCTCCCCACATATCAACCCTAAATTTTAAGTTACGGCATAAAATGCATAGTTATAAGGGGTCAGGCGCCATGGCAGATATGGTCATCCGCCGCTGCAAGTAGGGCTGTGCAAAAACCCGGTGGTCCGGTATGGTCCAGTCCAACCCGAACAAACCCGGTCCAGTCCGGTCCAGAAAAAATTGGCCCGAAACAAGACTGGACCAGACTGGACCAGACTGGTCTCTTCGGGCTGGACTGGACTAGGGACTGACCCCTCAGACCAGTTGGTCCAGTCCAGTCCAGCCCGATTTTTTTAAATTATTATTTATGTAATTTTAATTTGATTTAATTTTTCTATATAAATTTTTTATCTATTCAAATAATTAAGATTTATCTATTAACTTTCGAAGTAATGAGCATACATATATATTTTCTACAATTTAAGATCTATATTGATGAGGATTAATTAATAAAACATGACTTCATTGGGAAATTGAAAAGGAATGATCAAATTTGATAAATTTTGAATTAAAATATGTGTAAAATTTTATATAGTAAGTTATAATCTTGCCTCCTATTGAAAAAAAAAATTTCAAAAAAAATTAAATTTAGGTCTGGACTGCCTAGATTGGTCCAGGCAGTCCAAAGGACCAAGTCTAGTCCAACCCGACCTTGGGTTGGCACTGGACTGGACCAGACCTCGGGCTGTTTTTTTCAGCCCGAGGTCTTTACTGGACCAGACTTCGGGTTGATAACAAACCCGGTCCAGTCTAGTCTATGCACACCCCTAGCTGCAGGTATCACAGAATGGGCCTCTTGAAAGGGTTGGACACCGTCGCGGATATGATCAGGTGCCACGGTGCCTTGCATAGAATAGCAGCTCTTGGGACAGATAGGGGCATCACAGTGGATATGGTCAGACGTCGTGGCAAATTAGACCAAATGCCTTCCCTTCTTTTCTATCAAAACCACTGTGACGGTTTTCCTCATTCGCCGCGGCGGTTGGTCCTTGTTTCAGCTTCTTTGCTTCTAATCTCTCTTCCTTACTCACTCCGGGCTTTTTCCTGCACAATTAACTTCCAAAATACATAAAAGAGAGCTAAAACAAGCTGAATAAATGGGAATTTCAAGAGGTTATCATGGGTTTATATAATTTGTTTGTCTAGGTGGAGATCAAACTTTTTGACTGCGTAGTACTTAAGTTAAACAATTCCATGCCATAATACGCTTCTTCTTCTTTTTTTTTTGGCTGGGTTGTCTTAATTAAAGTGTCACTGTGAGTTGGATTTATATAGTTGGACAAAGTGACCAAACTGGACGAAGCTACCAAATACGTGAAACAACTTCAAGAACGTATAAGAGAACTAGAGAAAGATCCATCATTTACGTCGGCGAAGAGAATTGAGTTTGGTGAGAATAATGAAGACGACTTCTACAAAGTCAACGAAGAACTCCTAAGACTGAAGTTAGAGTTGCAGAGAACCAAATACTGAGTTTGCTTGAAAACTTTCATCTCTATGTCACCGGTAGCGCAGCGTCTTGCCATTTGGAAAGTCGACTATTGGCATTACCATTATGCCCCTCCAATCCTCCTCTTTTGCAAGCAAACATCCACGTACACAACAGCATAATC